AAATAAAAACATTTTTAAAACGGCATTTAGCGTAATAAAGACAAAAAAATGAAAATGAAAATGATTTTTTGATTTAGTATAAAATGAGAGAGAAATGAAAAACGATTTTTAGTCGTTTTTCATTTTTTGTTGTCGTTTTCTCCTCTCTCTAGCAGAGAAAAAGAGAGAGAGACATTAATAAATTTTTTTATACTAAAAACAATCTCTTGAACCAAACGCATTTTTAAAAATAATTTTTATCTGAGATTGAAAACGTTTTAATTTTCATTTTCATACAAAAAACAATCATTTGAAACGAGTTCCATACGCACTCAAAGTTTCCACTCCAAGCTCACTAACGACCAAACATCAAGCACCAAGCTTACTCTCACTTCATTTATGTCTTCTCCAATTTGTTTGTTAGCTTAAAATTTAAGAAAAAAAAAAACAACAAATGCTTAGAAGTGTTAAGCACCACAATTAATAGGAGGTCATGGACTATACCTGCAAACCTCATATTATAGAACCCACTCTTTATTAATTGACGGTGTTCAACATTACTCGTATCAAATAGCATTATTTATAAAGAAAAAACTACTAACGCTTTGTCCGAAACCTTTATTATTGTTTCTTTTAGAAAAGAGTGATTTAAGATGCAAAAGGTATTATGATCCATTATATGAGGGAATTCGAGCATGACGCTATGCATTTTTTTTTTTTAATGTTAATTAACCATTGAAAGGACTCCATAATGGTAAAAGAATCTTACCTTTTCATTATATATATAGACAAATGAAAAGCGGCTTTGTTGGATAGGATAGATATATAGATCAGCTTGTTGTTTTCAAAGCACAAATAATGGTTGACGAGATAGAGTGTGTGTAACTATATATATATATATATATATATATATATATATATGTGTGTGTGTGTGTCCTACATATAAATAAATTAATCCAATATATTATATATATTGTTTATACAATATCATTAAGGTTCGAGAGATCGCTAGTTTAAGTCCCAAAGATGTGGTTGAAATGATCAAATAATAGTACAGAACATAGTATATGTTAACGTGACTCTTACCTGTTTATGTAACCCAATGTGTCATTACTTAATTAAGCGCTTCACTTTTAGTATTTGTATTTGTTATTATCTGTTAGGGCCAAACTAAAAAAGTTCTTATTAGCCAATTATTTTATGTATAGGAATCGAGTTTACTGGGGCCAAACTCTTGTCGCCAAGATCTTATAGTTAAATTAAATATTCTTAAGAATATTATTAATTATTCTTGTGGACCTTAGTTTGATTTATTATGATCTTTTTAATTAAGGAACTAACGTGGAAGGCTTATATAGGATCAAAGCCACATTAGATCCAATAATTTGCCTAAAGTAAAGTATTAATAATATCTTTTTGCATTGTTATGCAGGCCAAAATATATATGATACGTGTTAATTAAAGTATATATCAATGAAATAATTCATCATGATTACAATTATGTCCTTAACCTTTATCCAAAACTAGGGGACAATAATATCATGCACAACCCCAACCCTATGTAGACAGACATATATGCATGAAGGATATCCAAAACCTTGTTATTTTGACGATAATACGGACCATGTACATTTTTGTTTTATATCATAACGATAATACAGATAATTAAGAATGTTGAATTTTAATAAATTTGTAGATCTGTTTTTTTTTTTTTTTTTTTTTTTTTTTTTTTTTTTTTTTTTTGAGTTGATGGGAAACAATGTAGAAAGTTGCAAGAAGTTAAAATTGCGAAATTGATGGACATATATGTGGAGACAAATAAGTTTCCAACTTTGGTCGAAATTAATGTCTTTTTCTAATTTTAGCACTCACTATTTGGATAAGGATTGCGTTTTAAAAAAAAAAATTTATTGTTTTGTTTTTCTTCTTTTCACATACGTTCATGAAAAGTCCAATTTCACTGTATACTAACACGCTTTGGTCTAGTACTCTAGTCTCCTCCATTTGCATTATAATATTAGCGAACATTTTTATGACACAAAACAAAACCCATATGTAGAACGAACAATATGATGATCACACGCTTCTGATTTTGCTTTATGTTTTTTTTTTACAATTTTACGTTGTTTATGGTTAAAAAAATGTGACAATATTGGATAAAATGACACAAGTAAAATGATTACATAGGGTTGTTTTTTAATGAAATTATTATACAAGTTTAAAGCAACTAATGAAACAAAAACGTTATTTTATCCGGGAGAGGGGGAAAAAAGAAACACTAGGAGCGCGTTTAGAACTCGTTTTAAAATGATTTTATTTTTTTGTATGAAAATGAAAATGAAAATGTTTTCAATCTCAAACAAAAATTATTTTTGAAAATGCGTTTGGTAGTTTTATCAAGAGATTGTTTTCAGTGTAAAAAAACTCATTAGTGTCTCTATTTCTCTCTCTCTGCTCGAGTGATGAGAAAATAAAAACAAAAAAATAAAAAACAACTTAAAATTATTTTTTATTTTTCTCTCATTTTACACTAAATTAAAAATCGTTTTCATTTATGTTTTTTTATTTTTATTGCGTCAAACGTCGTTTTGAAAACGTTTTTATTTTTTCTTTCTCAAAAAACATAAAAAACAAAAACATAATCAATTCTAAACACGGCATAGTATTTTCTACCTAAATCTTTATATATAGTTTAAAAAATGTGATTAATTATTAGCAACTTTTTTTTTGTGCAAGGAATTATTAGCAACTTAAGTAACATGTTTAAGTCAAAAATCTACTCAATAAAAGTCTCTATTCCTCGTCTCCGGGAAAGTAGCGACCAATTGACAAAAATAGCAAGAAAATCCATTTTGAAGAAAATAATAATACAAATAATAATAAGACATCATCAATCCATGGAAAGGATCCCAACAGCTTGCAATCTTATTGCCATTCCAGTAATCACAGCAGATTTATCCCTCCTTGTAGATCTCTATTTCCACGTCGCCACAAAACCCACATTTAACCAAAACTAGGAATACAACTTTTTTTTTTCTTCTCGATGACGTGTCATGATAAGGATATTCGAATTTCACTGCAACGGTGATGGGCGGTGGGGTCCACGGCCCTTGACCTGCAGCAGCAAGCAGCAGAAAATTGGTTCTGAGGCTTGGTCTGCTTGGAGTCCTCTATACGGAATGACGTGTCGTGGTATGATTGGGCATTATTTAGCATATTGAATTTGAGTGGTTGAATAAAGAAATTTGCTGCTTTGGTTTACGTCATACGTGTCACTCTCCTTCTGTGAAAATGGTTAAATTCGTCCATATCTATTACCTGTCACGTACGGAAGTGTTAAAATTTTTTATTATTTTCCTACGTGTCATTTTTGTTTTTGCTCTTTCTTCGCTTGTCTCTTTTTTATATTTGGCAAAAAGTCATTTTAGCATTATTTTCCGACGTGTCATTCGGCTGTCTAAACGATTTTCTTCCATGCAAGCATATCCACCTATTCTACGGTGTTGACTCAAAACCGCGTTTTGAAATTTTTATGATTTTTGTCAGAGAGCATGGCTAGGTTCACCGGTAGTGGTCACTAATCACTTCAAAAATAAAATATAAAATACAAAATAGTGATTGCGATGGTCTTTAATTGATCTTAGGAGACATTTCATGAATTAGAATTATGAGATTAAAATTATTTTTAATTTATGTATATTTTTTATGAAAAAAAATATTATAACGAATCATAAACCTAATTCAAATCGGGATACAAATTTCTCAGCCAAATAACTCTTTATTCATCGTGGCCATTGATCGATATCATCGTTGGTAATCACTACTGAACTTTGAAGTCTTTAACCAGTAACAAAAATATATCAACTCTCATCCATAGAATATGGTGCTCATATATATATATATATATATATATATATTTACACATAGGTAATCACAAGTATGTAAATATATTGGTATTTTCCGTGTTCGAGAAATATAATTGGAATAACTTGTTATTCAAGAATCTATCATTAATTTAACTTGGATTTGTTTAATAGAGACATAAAATAACTATTCGGCTCTCTTAATACAAACATTTTATCCCTTACAAATTGTTCATTATATTTTGGACTGCGAAGATTTTACAATAAGTAATAACATCACCAATGTAAATGACAATGTTAATGTTAATATTTGGCACACACACAAAAAAAAAAGTGAAAATGAGTAAGAGATTAAAATCACAATTCAAGTTCAATTGTTATACTGTTTTCTCTCATAAAAATTTAAATTTCAATATTTATTACAGTATTTTTCTCTTACAAATACAACTCAAGTTCTTAATTTGAGTTGTGAAACACCCCCAAATGCATTAACACACTAATATTTAGAAACTATAAAAGCAATTTAAAAATGACAGTGGTGATGATCAAATGAAAAAATGAATAGATCAACTAATAATGATATGCTAAAATTTACCATATGTTATATTCAAATTTTGTACTAAGTATGACATATATTCCAAATTCAGCACTATAAAAAGCATTCTATTAATTAGAGAGTAATTTTTCTACTTAAAAATTTTGATTTGGCACTGTATTGGATGTGCTCTAACAGTAGAGTATCACTAACACACTAAAATAAAATTGTATATAAATTTCACAAAATATAATGAAAAAAAGATATTTTTTAATACGTTAACGTATTGATAAATTAAATTTTTTAACCGTTAAATTTATAAAAAATTACATAAAAATTAAAAATATATAAATTTAACGATTAAAAAAATCTAATGTACCGATACGCTAGGTACCAGAGAATCTCCAAATGAGAAATTGATTAGCCTATTATGTTATCTGTTTCACCCTAAAAAAAAGTTCGTCAACCGTTTTCTTTAGTAAAACATCGTAAATGAATGAATCAGAAGTGGGGTTTCATGCTAACCGTGTGAGGACGCCCGTATTGTATTCTTTCCTTATCGTCGTTTTGGCTTTAAGTAAGTAATGAGGTGGTACGAGCAGAGAAGGAAAGCTTATCCAGTACAAAAACCATTATAAAAACGGAGAGTGAGAGGTGTGAAAGATTTATTATCTCAATACATCACAAGAGAGAACAAAGAAACAAACAAAAACCAAAAAAGAAAAATTTAAAAATTTCCCAGGTTGTTTCGTCTTCTTCAATGGCGTCAAGGAAGAGCTACCACGCAAAACCTAATTATATTTACCAGGCGTCGTCAGATTCAATGGCCTCCGACGCTCTCTTCGAATTCGACGAGTCGGAGATTTGGAGTAATACGAGTTCCAACCAAGTCGCACCGTCGTCGCTGGAGGCGAAGAAGTGGATTCCGGCGGCGAGGGAGCCGAAGAAATTGGGGATGATGAGGAAGATCTCCACGGCGGCGGCGCCGATGGCGTCGGCGTCGTTGCCGGTAAACATACCGGACTGGTCGAAGATTCTCAAGGACGATTACAAGGATCACCGCAAGATCGACGACGGAGATGACGGCGGCGACGGCGGAAATGGTGATCTCGGCGATCGGATTCCGCCTCACGAGTATCTGGCGAGGACTCGAGGCGCGTCTCTCTCCGTCCACGAAGGCGTCGGGAGGACTCTCAAGGGTAGGGATTTGCGCCGCGTGAGAAATGCGATATGGAAAAAAGTCGGTTTCGAGGATTAGCAGAGAAAAGTACAGAGAGGGAGAGAAAATATATATTTATAGTACATATATAAACATATATTATAACACAGACAGATTTTGCAGATGGAAAATTTTGGTAGTGGTAGGAAAACCGGAGAAGGACTTGATTATGATGAATAGTTTCTCTCTCCTTTCTCTTCCCTCCATCTTCTGGTTGTTCTTCACCAGAAGTCCAGAAGGTTTTTTCTCTAAAATGCTAATTTATGCGTTTTGTTTATTATTATTTTTTTTGTAGTTTTTGAATATTGTTGTTGATATCGTTTTGGGTGTCTGAGTTTTATGGAAGGACCTCTTTTTATCGATATATATAAATATATATATATATATGTTATATGTCCATTGTCTTAACTTTGAGATTGTAAGTTCAAAGATCTCTCTTGTTTTGAAGTTTTGATCATTTTGATTTCATGGTTTCATGATTCATTTTACTCTCTTTTTTTTTTTTTTTTTTTTTTGAAAACCTACTTAATCTTCATCTAAAAAAAAAAAAAAAATTAGATTTTTTTTATTTAAATTTTTTGGAAGTGTGGATATTGGAGGACGAAGATGAGGCAAGTGACGTAAAGCCATTGGGCTAATGGTAGGTGTGAAAGCTACTGGTCATCTAGAACAAACCTTGGACGAAACATTTTGTCCCTCAAGGTAACAAATGCCTATTGCTTGGCGTTTTTACTAAATATTATTTGTTTGTTTGTTTTACTTTATTTTTGAAATAAAGTACATTAAGATAAAAGGATAAAACTTTTTGTGTCTAAATTCATCTTTTGACCCGTTCAGAATCCCTTTGGCCTTTATGACAAAACAGTGATAACAATAATGAGGGGATAGATAAATTAATAAATAAATAAAGCAATAACGAAAAGAGTGAGACAAAAGATAAAGAGACGTTTGGTGGATGAATTAAAATTATGAGATTATAATTATTTTTAATTTATGTGTATTTTTTATGAGAAAAAATATTATAATGAGTAATGAATTATTATTCGAATCAGAGTATGAATCTCCTTATAAAGTAATTAATTGACTCATTTGTTAAGTTTTTAATTTAAATTGAGATGTGATTATATGTAAAAAAATTTTATTATAATAAAAAAATTAGATGTGATTATTTTTAAGAGTTTTTTATTATAATAAAATTTAAATTATGAAATAAATATGATTAATAAACGGAGCTAATCGATGAAATAAATAAATAAAGCAATAACGAAAAGACTCCTTACAAAGCAATTAATATGCATTAGCTTGTAATGAAATTACCAAACCAAGGGGCGCTGCTTGATTCCTTTTATCCAGCATTCTATCCTGCTTTGATACATTGTATTCTGCACTAAGAGAATGTCATGCATTGTTTGACACGTAAATTTTAATAATTTAATATATTATTATTTAAATAAAAAATTAGATATTAAAATTTATGTGTTAAATAATAAATATAAAAATTAATGAGATATTAGAGTTTACGTGTCAAACAGTAAATATAAAGATTGACAAAAATATTATCAAAAAGAATTATATTAACATTTCTCTTTACACTAATACATCATGAACTTTTATCGTCATTTTCAAAACTAGACCTTAAAAACTTTTGATATTAACATTTAGATCCTAAATTTAATAGTCATTGACAATGTAGTCCAATCGTTATTGCATGCTAATCGATAGGTAAAAGTATACCTCGTTTATTTCACTATTTCAAGTTAAGAACTTGAGTTAAAAAAAATTATAATAGAAAATATTAGATTTAAATTTTTATGAGAGATAATACTGTAACAAAATCTTAAATTATGACGAATTTATTTGTGTAAACAAGGAATTTCCGCTTATTAATTAACCTCTGTTAACTATTTGTCGAAGCATTTTCAAATTTGTGGTCCTATGTATCAAAACTAAAATTTCATAATTTGAATTACCAAATATCAAAAAGTTCAGATTTCATAAATAATAATAATAAGAATAATAACAACAACAATAATAATAACAACAACAACAGCGTATACATTCATGCATTATTTAATTTATTTTTTGAAGTATGTACATACACATTATCGGTATAAACGTTCTTCTTAAGTCATGTTTCTCTTTTTATTTCTCTATTTTTTTTTTCTACGGATGTACCATGAGTCCATGACCATGTAAATGTAACTGATCAGTGTAAAGTAATTTTAGATTGTAAAACTAATAGTTTTTAACAGTTTATGGTGTAATTAAAATTTTAATTTGGAACAATAAGAGTATAATTAAAAAAACTTATAATAGTATAGCTGAAAATTTAGTAGGACAAAATGTAGGTTTAACAAATATTTAAAAAATTTTGTTTGCAGAAGTTAAGAAGTAAAAAATGTTAGTAGGCACACTTTTTTAATAAAATAACAGAGGGAATAAAGCAAGTAAGAGAAAATTTTAAATTTGACCATTATTTTTTCTAATTTTATTATTTATGCTATTACACAAAATATTGATACTACCATAAAAAGATAACATGCAGCTTATTAGTAGCATAAGATAAATTTTAAAAATAATGACAAAAATAAATTAGTGTAATCTCTTTGATGGTTTTTTTTTTTAAATTTCCCATTAAAAAATTATAAAATTTAGAGGCAAAAATTAAAGCTGAATTTTTCGCAGGCACACGATAATAAATATAATTTGAATCTCTTTAAAGTTTACATATTTTGCCTTCTTTTTGGGTTTATGAGATTTGTTGCGTAAGAAGATGATCAAACCTGGATCAAAACAACTACGCCTGCCGTTGGTTTTCATGGTATATATGCCGGTATGGATAGTTTTCAAGGGAAGAGAAGAAAAGAAAAGAAAAATGCAGGTTTTGGCTAAAAGTTTGCCTCCACATCATGAGCAAATTGAAAGAAAAAGAAGTTTTCCCTTTAGAGAAAAAATGAGCCTTTTCTCATGTCTGCTGAAACATGTGAGGTTTGTAAAAGAAGAATTGTGGGTGGCGAAAACTTTCACTTGCTTGTTCCTTTTGTAGTAATGTGGGCCTTTTTTTTAGATAATTACACTACATGATAAAATTTTTATATTGTGAATTGTAATTTTTTTAAAAATTAAATATTATAAAAACAGCAAAAGTTATATAATCATAATCATAATGATACAACATTTTGCATTATATAATGATATATTCATATAATTTTAATGATATCAAATTTTGATATTTCTATAATTTTTTTAAATTTTTATTATATTTTATTTTACCATTTTAAATTTTTCTATATGTGTAAGGAGCCTTTTTTTTCCTCCACATTTTTTTTTTTTCAAAAAAAAAAAATTTTTCTTGCGCCTCCAATTAATGCCTTACAAGTGGAATTAGATGCGTGAGAGAGCATTATTCCTCCGTCCAGCAAAAATAAGAATCTAAGAGACATGCATATGATTTTGATACTTTGTCGTAATATGCAAATTTGGCTTCATATAGATTGAATCTCATATGTCCTAGTCCAATGAAACCCCTAACTCCATATGCTAATTATATTGACCCAAATTTCATATTTGACATGACTCTAGAAGATTACAAAATATACTATTTTTTTTTGTTCATAATTAAAGGCTAATTTAACTATGCGTTGGGTAAATGCTTTTGAGAAAATTGAGCCATAATGCAATACAATACTAAAACCTTTGCTATCAAGGATTATTATTATATGGAGGAAAACTATAACTTACTAAGGCCCCGTTTATTTCACCGATTTGAATTTAAAATTCGAGTTTTGTTATAGTAAAAAGTTCTCAGAAACAGTCACATTTAACTTTTTGCTATAATAAAAAGCTCTAACATAAAGTCACACCTCAATTTAAATTAAAAATTCGAATCAACGAACTAAACGGACCTTAAATCTCATACCTTATACTAAGATCTTTTTTTTTATATAATTATTTATTAAGGAACATACCTAAGTCTAAGCCGAGCAACACAATATTTTATACATTTTAGTAGTAATTAAATTAAAGGACCCTAAAAGAAAGGCAATATCGAAGGTTTCATCACGTGTTCATACATTTTCCAATCAATGTTTATAAGACTTGACAATTTTAATCCTTTTGCTACGATATATTATGAGATCCGAAAACATAATACCGGTACATAGCTTTTTCTTATTTTTTAAATTTATTATGCTGAGCATTATTAGATGTCATTAATAATAATATAATAATTCCTGCATATAATAATAATAATAATAATAATTATTGGTGGCATAAACATTTCTTTTATATTTAACCCAAATATAAAATATAATAATAATAATTCCTGCATATAATAATAATAATAATAATAATAATTGGTGGCATAAACATTTCTTTTATATTTAACCCAAATATAAAATATAATAATAATAATTCCTGCATATAATAATAATAATAATAATTGGTGGCATAAACATTTCTTTCATATTTAACCCATATATAAAAAATCTACCAATGTTGAGACTACGACGCGTTTGTCTAATCACACAACATCTATTTCGGTATTCTTTTTGTTTTTGTATTTTTTTTTTCCTTTTGTTTTGCTTGAAACTATTTCTGTGTTCTTTTAATCACAAGAAATTCAACTCCAGTATCAGATTCAATTGAAATTAACTATGTGAAAAAAAAATTTATATTCCAAAAACCAGTTACAACTGAAATGATATTTTTAAGACATCAAAGTAAGATTTTTCTTTTGAAGGAATCAAATTGCCATTCTATAATATTAGGGAAAAAAAAAATACAGGTATCAAAGTGATTTTTTTGTTAAGAAAGGTAAGGTAATATTTTCCCTTCCACTGTTCTCTCTCTCCCTCTCTCCTTTTTCTAAACTCAACAACTCTCATTTTGCCTTCCATGAAGGCATAAACCCAACCAACAAATGGTAGAAAATAGGCCTAGATTTAAAATTTATGTTAGTAAATTATTAATTTATCAATGTATACAAATTAATAGGTCTTTTTATGTTTAATTTTTTTTTATCTTTTTTTATTTATTTATTTTTTTTCTCTTTCCTTCCCAATCTTCTTTTTTCTCTTCTCTCTCTATCATTCATTTATGGGTATGCTCTTCTCTCTCCCTCATCGCCAGTTATAAATTTAGGATTTATAGTGTAAATTTAGAATTTACCATTAAAACATAGTTGTGTGTTTCTTCATAAATCATGGATTTATAATGTAAATTTAAGATTCACTATCAGAACACAATTTAGTTTCCTTCGTAAATCTTGGATTTACACTGTAAATTCAAAACTTTGCCATTCTAAGAAAAATCCTTTTAGGTATGCTTGTAAATTCATAATTTATCATACGGTAAATTTAAGATTTACCATTAGAACACAAATTATGTTATTTGTAAATCATGTTTTTACAGTGTAGATCTAGGATTTACCATCAGAATACACTTTTTATTCATTTGTAAATCCTGAATTTACATAATAAATATAGTATTTATCATCAGAACACATACTGTATTTATTTGTAAATTTTGAATTTACCATACTGATTATATTAACTTCACTAATATAAGATAAACATATTTTAGTTATGCTCATAAATCTAAAATTTACCGTACGATAAACCCATAATTTACCATTAGAACATAGATAAATTGTAAATTTACAGTGTAATTCTATAATTCACCGTGTGAACACAATTTCTAAGGACGAACAAAAAACCCGACAACGTGACGAACACGATTAACCCACCCAACCCAACCCATTATAACCCGAACCCGACCAACATGATCAAGAGATCAACCCAACCCACATAACCCAACTATTAATTGTGTGGGTTTAGGTTGAGTTTTTCTTAACCCAACTTAACCTGAACCCACCAAATATATTTATATATATATATAAATAAATATATTTTTACCTCATTATATATTTTATTTGTCTTATATTTTACATTAATTACTTTACAATCTTTTATGTTTCATGTTGTATGAATTTTTATTATTGTTTGTTTGTTGGTTTACAACTTATGTATTTGAACTTCTTTTGCATATATTTTATTTTTATATTAGTTTATAACTTATGATACAATATTAGAGGTGTATAAGACTAATATTATGATGAAAATTACATTTCTTTTTCATATATTTCTTATTTTGGGTTGAATGATTAGCTTTATTTTTTATTTTTAACCTCTTTTCTATGTTCAACCCGACCAACCCACCCAAATTTTAATTAGGCGGGGTTGATTTTAAATTTTGGGTTGATTGGGCGGGAAAATTTAAAATTAACCCACCCAAACTTTGATTGGAGGGGTTGAAAAATCTCAAAAACCCATCCAACCCTCCTGATGTTCACCCCTAACAACATCTGCTTCTTCATAAATCTTGAATTTACATGATAAATTTATGATTTACCATCAAAACATACATTGTGTTTATTTATAAACCATAGATTTATAATGTAGAAAGCGAGGAGATAGAAAGAGCATGAAAAGAGAGCCAGAGTAAATTTTAAAATTTCATTTCTTTTTTAATTAATTTTTTTAAAAATGTTAATTAAGTGTGAATATGGATTTATACCTATTAGGGTTCTTTACTGACTAATTATAAACTTTAGCTAATTATTTTTATAATCCTTTTAATTAGGCCTATTTCCCAAAATCTCCCAACACAAACGAACAACTAGGGCCTGTCCGTACAAACGCAACGTACAAGCTTCAAAATGCAGCAGCGTTTATCCGATATCCGGCAAAACAGGCGTCGTGACACCAAAAACGACAGCGAGAAAATGGGAGGCAGAAGGAGAAACCAAATCCTGGTGAGTCTGGCGGTCGTGATGTTCTTGGGAGTCGCCGTCTACTTCCGCCTCTGGAGCATCGACTACTCCGCTTCTTCCTACGACACCGAGCTCTTGAGGTATCATTTGCGAAAGCAAATCAAGGCCTTTTGAATGTTTTGCCTATAAATTGTGAAAATTTCATGTTTGTAGACGACAGTTCGATCTGGCGAACAGAGAAGCAGTGGATGAGTCTGCGGAGTGGAGGTTGAGATACGACGAGGAAGCAAAGAGGACTTCCCAATGTCTCACTGAACTCAAACAGGTTTTTCCCAGATCTCCATCATCAGCCTTATCACGTTCAAAACTTTATTTTGGGGGTTTTTCAATTCACTATTTTAACATGTTTTTGTTGATTATCATAAGAAAAATCTGTGTTTGTTGTGTTGGGTGTGTGGAGCTTAATTATAATGGAGTGTTAGCAGATGGGTATTTTTTTAAGTTTGTAATCTTGCCTTTATTGCTAATATAATTTTGTGTGTGTGCTTTCTTGCCTTTATTTCTCTTGTTTAAAAAGGATTAGGGTGTTTATTTAGTAGCGACTGTGTTAAATCCGTAGCCTTATAGAATTTCAGCTATGAAACTCTGAGATGGAGCTGCTATTATTGTAATTCTCTGGAAAAAGAAAGTCGTTATTTTGAATTTGATTTTACTTTAAGTATAAGTTGTACTGGTTTCATACAAATTTTCTCCTTATGTTAGTTAAAAAGTTAGAACCGGAACTGAAATCCGATGTCTAAGACTTGTGCCTTTATATTTCTTTTGAAACTTGGACTAATGATGTTTTAAAGGCATCCTTCGTCACAGCTTTGCGGTGCATTGGTTTCAATTTGTTCCTTTTAACACTTGTTTCTGTATTTTTTATGTTTTGATAATATGTTCTTGTTAATCATATTAGTCAAGCAATTTGGTCGAGTTTATAGGTGATAGGCCAATGTTTTGCGCTCAATCCTTATAGTGGGTGTTTGTCTTAATCTTTTCCTACAAACCTACCATTTCTTCTTTTTCTCCTGAGGAATTTTTTGGTCAGGCCACAAGTTTAAATTAGTTGCTTAATGCGGATTTGCATAAGCTTTGCACATATAGTTTGTGAAACGAATGCTTTCTACCCATCGTGTGCCATATTCAAGTAAACTGGGTTTTAAGCAGATGGTACTATCTACTAAGTAATCATTTATTGCCAAGTATGTAGAGCCTAATTATTGCCCTGATGCATCGGATAAACCTGGTAATCTTGTATTTATGTTGTAGTTTTTCACATTTCACTCTTGTTTTATCGGTTTTCCTAATTATTCTTGTGTTATGGTTATAGAAAAACACCGATTCTGAGAGGTGTTGGGCATGTGATTCTCCGGTAATCAGTGTCTTATTCATCGTAGTGAATTTTCTGTCATACAGTGAACAAACACGCTCAACTAAAAAAAAAAAAAAAAAGAGGACTTATTCTCCTTTCCCAACTAAAAGTGGACGTAGATCTCATATTAAGAGTGAACCACTACTAATCTTGTATGTTTCTTTGTTTTTTCTTCGATTCTCTTGCTCTAGGTAAAGCATTAGAGCGTGTACTTCTTAACATTTATGCCTAAAGATAGAATTGACTTGACTTTGCAAATACGTGCCTGTCTCATTAAGCGTCTGTTTCCTTAACAGCTCAAGAATTCTTCTAAGAAGGATCATGATGCTACTTACATCAACCAGAAGTTGGAAAAACTACTAATGGTAACTCTTTAAGTACCAATATCTCCTTTATTTATAGTGTGTCTTTCTTCTTTCATGATTCACCAAATTTATGCAACATAAGGAGTATGCAGATGATTATCAACTGTTGCCGGGAAGGATAATTTGCACCAATTCACCTTGAATTTCTTTTTATTTGCAAGTTGGACTCTGAACTTTTAATTTCGAATTTAGGACCCTAAATTTGACAACACTTGGCAATGTAGTTTAATCGATAATCAATTAATGGACAACAATTAGGGTCCCAAATGCCAACATTAAAAAGTCCCATGTCCAACTTGCTAACTGACGAAAAGTTTTGGGTTTATTTGTGTGAAAGTTATGGGTAACTTTTGTTGTTACTTGATGGACTATAATTGCAATGGCCTTAAAAATTTCGGGTCCAATTTGCTAAAATTAAAATTTTAGGATCCAAGTTGCCAAGAAATGTTAAGCTCAGGTGCACTTAAAAAACACTTTGCTTCATAATACAACTTTTATTTTTCTTATTTTTTCAATTGCATGTATTGATTAGTAGAAGATTTGTTGGAAAGACATTCTTCTAACCTCTATCCTCTTCTCATTGGTTGTTCAATGCGAAAACGGTGCTCGGTTTTGTAGAAAGTATTTGGAAGTCATCTTCTGATTAAATTTTGTTTTTCGTCTCAATTATTATTTATAATGAATTCATTTTGAAGGAAAACAAGGAATTACATGAAAAAGTTGAAGCCTTGAAACAAGACCTTGAGGCTGAAAGGCTGAAGTGCAAATCACAATAGATGAGCACATATCAGGTGTTATGGAATCCTTCACTTACCTCAGAATTGATGACTTTTCAACTTAGCAACACGTTAACAGATCGAGTTTGATTTTCCAATAACCAGGTTCTATGGCTTTTGCATCGATAATTTTTTGGAGGAGATGCTTGTGCTCCTCCATCGTTGCTGTTATTAGTTTTCTGCTAAGAAACTCGGACGCCTTTTAGAAAATTCGATGTTTTTCACTGTTGGGTGCCCCTTCTATGCTTTTTGACTTGTATTTTCTTTGTCACGAGGAGAGGGAAAGTTTAGTTTAAGAAAGCGTTTATAGCTCAGGAAAGGATGTGATTAGGCTTACGAAATTGTGTCTGCTTTTTGGAGTTTTTAGTACACGTTGTATGAGTGTCAATTGTCTAATTTTGGAACAAAGAAAGAATGATAATAATATCCGAGACGACATAAAGAAGAAAAACAACGTCAACAAGAACATATAACAATCTGGGAAACAACATTAGAAGGATATATTAGAGTATGAGGAGAGAAGTGAGGGAGAAGAATTATAATTTATAGAGTATTAAACTTTCATCTTAAAATGTTAACATGTTTAAGTGGGATGGTCTAATATCTTTATATGGCTGTGATTAAGTTTGTATTTAGACGATGTGGGACATATGCATTTTATCCTTTACACATCCTCGCAAGATGGTGTTCCGTTAGGAGTCATTAATTTTGTTGGATTGATTTAGTTCCTTTGAGTAAAGTGCTCTGATGTCATATTAGAGTTTGAGGAGAGAAATGAGGGAGAAGAATTGCACTTTATAAAGTATTGGACTTCCATATTAAAATGTTAACATGTTTAAGTGGGGTGGTCCAGTATCCTTATATGATTGTGATTAAGTTTGTATTTAGACGATATGAGAGACATGCATTTTATCATTCACAGGATAAACGGTGAAAGAGATCACACTATTTGAATGAATTATGAATATATCATAAACGCCCATAAAACGACATAACGAAGGAACAAAACGAGAACGTTGTCCGAAACAACATTAAATTGACAAACGAAAGAAGAGAAATAATTGAAAATGTTCAGAAACGGAAAGGAACTGCATCAAGAGTGTTGCCAGAAACTAAACAAACAACATTATTAAAAACGACATCGAGAAGATAAAAAAAATCTTAGGAAAAACACCGATAGATTATGGAGAACGATAACAATCTTGGAATAAACTTCGAATGATAAACGATAACAAAGGCATGGAAGACTAGAAAAGAAAGCAAACCGCATGGACCTTGAAAAACGACAGAATATAGACATATGTCAAAATTATAAATGACACAGTGAAACAAACGACAGGAACATTGTCTGGCAAAGGACAAAATAAAACAAACAACGTATTCATAAAAATATAAATAAAAATAAAACAAACAAGCGTGAACATCGAAGTATCTAACACCACCACAAGAATGATGTAAACGACAGCAAAAGGAAAAACGACGTAATAAAATCAAACAACATAACATAGAAATCAGGAAAAAAAGTAGTAATATGGAAGCGACTATAAAAATATAATAAAAATAAAACAAACAAACGTGAACATGGAAGTATCTAACACCACAAGAATACAGTAAACGACAGCAAAAGGAAAAACGACGTAATAAAATCAAACAACATAACATAGAAATCAGGGAAAAAAAGTAGTAATATGGAAGCGACTTCAAATATAATAAACAGAAAAACAAAACTAGAAGAAAAATATAAATGAAAAAAGAAAACAAACGCATGATGAAAGAAGCCATCACCCTGGAAAACGACATAAAAATGACAAACGAAAAAACGACAGACAGTTAAAAACAACCATATCTGTAAACGACATCAAAGGTTAAGCGACTAAATTTAATTAAGAAAACAATATGCACAAGGAAAAGGAAAGCAATGTGGGAAAGGACAACATAAGGAAAAAACGACATATGGAAGTCAAACGACGGAACATAGGAAACGACAACAATCTTGTAAGGGACTTCTTAAGGATAATCAACAACAAAATGGGTATAAACATCGAAAGATCAATAACCATATTATCATAATAGATCCTGGACTAAATTATTTCTAATATGCTCCCCTGAAAAAGGAAAAAGAAACCAATTTCAAGATCGTTTTAATGTGCGAAGTCCTCACTTTCAAAGTGTCTAGAATACAAACACATATTCTTTAAATTTCAAACCAGATAAATTTGCATAAAACTCCAGTCAGCTTGTACTCTTCAACAAAAAGGATATAATTCCAAGTATATAAACAAAAAGATACATACGATTCTTTATTTTTCTGTCTCAAGTAACTTTATGCAAATTCAAGATAGAGAAAAATAATGGGCGCGTTTGGAACTTGTTCTAAAATAATTTTACTTTTTGTATGAAAATGAAAATGAAAACGTTTTCAATCTCAGACAGAAATCATTTTTGAAAATACGTTTGGTAGTTTTATCAAGAGATTGTTTTCAGTATAAAAAAACCCATTAATATCTCTCTCTCTGCTCGAGAGAGGAGAAAACGAAAATAAAAAATGAAAAACGATTAAAAGTCGTTTCTCATTTCTCTCTCATTTTACACTAAACTAAAAAATCATTTTCATTTCTGTTTTTTGTCTTTATTGCGCCAAACGCTGTTTTAGAAACATTTTCATTTTTTCTTTCTCAAAAAACGTGAAAAACAAAAGCGGGATCAATTCCAAACACGACCAACATATTCAAGTTATGCTAGTACATATTACTTAACAACAAATATATAATTTTCTTACAATTACTAACTAGAAGATAGTTATATATACACACGGCTGTGAAGATCATTCTTCACTACATTATCGTGCATGTTTTAAGATTCTACAGAAAAGAAAGTTGGCCAAGTACCATTCATCAGTTAATCAAATAAATAACTAGTTCTTCAGCTCAAGTGCTGGTTGAGCAAACATGTTTCTGTAGGGCTAGGTCTTCAGTTCATGGAGGAATCTCGTTATCGTCTGCAAAAATACTTCGTCGTCGTCTTGTCGAACCGAGGACGCAGGATCTGTACTAGTAGTAGAACCGTTATTCGTTCTTGAATTCTGTGGAACACAAAATAATAAATTTGGTAAAATTTTGAAAAGTTGACAGTTTTTCAGGCCGGATGTTAAAAACAATTAGATATCATACAATTAAGCAATATTGATTGATAATTAATTTCTTTTTCATACGAGGGTGATAAGTCATACGTATAATTGTCTTGCCAAAAAGGGAGGGGAAAAAAAAAACTGATTGTAGTAATATTTACTATTTTCTTATATAATCTGCTTGAAAAATATATTTGGTAAAATTTTGAAAAATGAAAGGACGGTTATTGAGGCCGGATGTTAACAAGAATATCATAAAACTAAGCAGTGTTGATGACATGTTTTCAAAGCAAAGCATGCAAAAAATGGAAATTTTAGTTGAGAGATCTAACATTACTAGAGGTTGCTTTTCGTCTCTTCCCCGGCCTAGTTTGCGAGTTCATTATTTCAATCAGATCATCAAACTGAAAAGAAGGACATGACAGAAGAGCTTAATCAATTTATTCTTAATCAAGGGAGAGATAAATAAGTACATAAAATTAAGAAACAGTAACATTAATTATTATTTTCCTACGTTTGCATTTGCATTATGTAATTAACTCTAAATTTTTTATCTTGTCTAGTTAAAATTATTTTGGCGGCCTCCTTGAAAAGCTAGGCTATATGTTCTACGTAACAACATTATTGATTACTTGTATATAGATAGATATATGCAAAACAAACCTGTTTCACTATTTTATCGTACTTTCTTACGTTCTGATATAGTCTTCTTTCATCGTCGACTTCCCTAGACATTTTCAATCAAACCCTCAAAATTACTCTCTCTCTCTCTCCCCCTCTCTTCTCTCTCTCTCTCTCTTTGACAAGTTGACGGTTTGAATCACACACACACACACACATATATATATATATACATATATATATATATATACATAGATGGTTAGCAAGGAAGCATGTCAATAGCATGAGAAGAAATGGTTAACCGTTACTCACCTCCTATATTGGTATTACGCACAAAAAAACAAAATAGAGAAGAAGAGAGGAGAATATACAATATAGACCGTTAATATTTTTGTGGACCATTTCTTCTTTTTTACTTCCTTCCAAACACTAATCTCGTGATCATGAAGAGGCGATCGAGAAAACAAAAGAGAGAGCACACATCAACTCCCAAATATTAATGAAAGAGTGAAACTCCTACCGAAAAGGAATTGTGGCTTTTTATGATCAACTGCGTAACAAACTCACCTTAAAACCAACGCACTACAAATAAAATGCCAAAAAATGAAAAAAAAGAAGAAGAAGTTAATTCCACATTCTTTCCTTTTGAATCAACCATCATTCCCCAATATACGTACATAGAATATATATATATATATATATATATATATATAATAGTTTTGTTGTATTCCTAGAGAAATATTACACCTTTTGGAGAAGGCTATATATAATATTAAAAAAATTAAGATTTTGTATACAATTGCCTTCATTAGTAATTTTACTTTATTTGTATTTCTTTTAATATTTACTTTATTTTAATTTTGTGTAACAATCCCGATTTTTTAATTGTAATTTCTATTTATATGAGAGCTCTTTACTAGTCAGATATCTTATGTTTGTTCTAGTTCCTAGATGGAGGCAAATATCAAACTACATTAATTTTTTATTTTCCCTTCTCTTTTTTATTTTTATCTTTAATTTTTAATATCTAACCTCAAATGTCAGAATTGTAACGGTTAATTTGAATCGTGCTTTTTTTTTCTTTGATTTGAATATGAGGTTTAATTCACGGATGCAATCAATCTATGAGAACCTTAAAAAAAAAAAAAAAAAAAGTTAGGCAATCTAGCTATCACCACTACCTAGATAAGGAGAATAAAAAAAAAGCTATTTGATATTTCAATTGTTCTTCTCTAATGGGCTGATATATGTGCATAAGTGAATATTCTGGTATAATAATTCCAGCTAACTAGAATAACAAATTACATTTGGTATGCAAATTAGCAGTTCCAAATTTCTTATACGAATATTTGATGTAATTTATTGTATCTGCAAACAACCGTAACAATTTGCAAATGCGGAAATAGATTTTTCTATTTATCTTCCCCTTTAATACAATCTTTAAGCAACAGATAGATGCCACGTTATATTAAGAGAAAATTTTAAGATTAACCATTGTTTTTTTCAACTCCATTATTTATATCATGACACAAAATGTTGATGCCACACAAAAAAATAAATTGCAGGTTACCAAAAATAACTTTTCGTAACTTGTAGGTTACAAAAAGGTAACCTGTAGATTACGAACAGATAACCTGTAGATTATGCGCGTTACGAAAGATAACTTACATGTTACGAAATAAT